AGTATGTAATCCCAAAACAATTTTGTAATGTTATCTATTTATTTAATTATTTGTTTCGATTCCTAGGTCCTATTGGACAAGGTGACCATGTGCCACTGTACCAGCCCTATCAGTGATGGTAATGTTTTCAGACCAATATCAGAATTTGTTTGGACAATATCTCATCTGGAAAAATTTATAATTGAGATATCCATCCAAGGTAAGAAAAATGAGGGTCATTGAAAACATAAAGAACAGTGGTATATGTGTATATTAATCTTTAAAGTGATCTGGTGTAGTAATACAGTTGTGATGTAATGTCAACTGTAAGATAACACAATTGTAATCTATTTACCTCAGGCAATATAGACTCTAGAAGTACCCCATCAATACTCACAAACTGTTGTATTTCTATCTTTTGTCAACAAATACAGTCTGACATCAGTTATATACAGAATGTTTTTATTCCCCAAACTAAGCTTATAATAAATGTTTTAACTACATTATGTAATTTCTCACTTAGTGGTTTTACCCCTGCAAATGAAATCAAAAGGTCTGTAATTAAGTCAAGCGGCGTGGTTTCGATTCCCCGCTTGTATGTGACAAGGAGTAGGGTCACCTGTCCAAATACATCGGTTTTCTCCTGGTCCTCCGGTTTCCTCCTGCAGCTAAAAAACCCTATGTGCAAAGCATATTATTGAAATAAAATTGAACCATTTTATAGTACCAAAATGACCTAGTTTGTGTTGAAGTCTGTTAAACTCTCACTCTCTCTCTCTCTCTCTGACACACACACACACATTCATGTACATCAATCAGCTCAAAAAAGATCATTTCTATTTTGATCTACAACACAAAGAATGTATGTAATTTTACAATGCCTGACATGATTAACTCAATGACTTTATTGATATTTTTGTGCTTAAGTCAACCTGTTGATAAGCTGGTTCTATTGATTCTAACTGTTTGTCGTCTTGCATAATACGCGAAGCACAAGGTTGTACCTAAGTTCACCCGTTAACATCATGGAAATCAATGCAATTTCTGTTAACGCCATTTGTTTCTACACATCCTAGTTATAATAGATATACATGCAGCTAATGCAGATTAAAGTGACACTTCACCATTTTGTGGTTAAATTCAAGTCATTTTTGTTTAGAACTGATAATTTATTTTATTTGATATATGCCATTATATTTAATTGAGGACATTTTTTAAATTGTTTCAATGAGGGAATTGAGTGAGTACAAGTATCATAGTCAAAACAACTAGCTCAACGACTTCATTTTATTTTTAAACATTAGAGAGAAATAATCACTGATCAGGGCTATACTGATGTTGCTGATAATTATGGATTTGGTGACTGGAGGATGTGTGGGTGGTGAGGGAAAGGTGTTGACACTAGAGATAACAATATGTCTAATCTAATTATATACTATATACTACAGCTACCGCCTGGTATGTACATGTATGTACATGTACTCTACATTGTTTTATTAATGTTTCTGATCTACACATATTGTTAGTTTATAGATTCTCCTGTGTGTACTATAAAATTAGATTTGAACTAAAATATCTTGGTTACATAGAGGAATTTGACACCCAGAGGCTCCAATGGCAAATACCTCATGTGTCAATGTACTGTAGAGTCAATATGAATTGTAATTTTCAGTACGGAAGTCTTAAAGTGATAAATATTTGAAAACAGAGATATGCAATAAGATGTCTACCCATTCAATCCTATAAATTTTACTTGCCAGAAGAGCTGATTCATAAAATCATTGTACGTTTCCCTGTTATAACTGTCCATCATTCAGTCATGTAAACTGTCTGGTTTGTAGCCGGCAAACTGCCAATACAATGTTAGACAAGAAACTAGGATCTCAGTAATATTATCTATATCATACTGTCTGCTGCTATTAAAAAGCACCTCATGGTAGGTACTGTACTTGACAGATAACAGGAGGTTTAGTTCTAACATACCAAACTATTATAAGGAACCTTACATTTTGGTACAAACGTAACCACAATTTTTATTCCATAGCTGTGAAAAAAACACCATGTGGCACATACATGTACATGTATCCTGTCTTTTTCATAAAGAAATCTAAAGTAAAATAAAATAAAATTGTAAAATTGTAAGATATTCAATAAAACACTGACTGACAGGGTGGATTAAATGGGTGGCTGACAGGGCCAAACAGAAAACAACTTTCAAACCTTGTACATGTAGTAACAGTACGTGATTATTACCTTTCATTCTACTCAAGAACTTATAACAAGCCACTGAAACTGATATTAGACTGACCTCTTCTACATGTACATGTAATTAAACTGAACTCTGATGACAATGTCTAAATCTTTGTACCAAGAATATTTTGGAATATTCACTGTACCCCTATGTATTGCCCCTATGTACACTATGGAAAAACAAAACAAAATAATGCCTACTACAAATGACCTCCATGTTGTTGGGTTTTTTCCCTCAACTTGAAAAACTATTCCTTTCATTAAAGCTCCCACAATTAACCATGTTTTCAACACTCAATCACATAACCGCTTCATTGAGATGACAGAGTTATCTCAATATGATCACATTTGTGACTGTGTACTTGTAAGCTGTAGGCAGTATTGGCTCATAAATAACTAATGGCTGGCTATATAGAGTGTAAATAATATTATTAAAAAGGACAGACTAAAACTGTATTTAAAACCCTTGGGGAGAATTTTACTGCATTTTTTATACATCAATGTGTGACATTAAATATAATATAAACATGAGGAACCTGTTGTACATTTTCAAGTGGATACATGTAGGTCCATCCAAATTTCTCAACTGCATGTACAGAAAACAAGATATTTCTATTTATTGCAGATTACGGTAGCAAGGCATTAAAATGAAATATTTTTAGCATTTTATTAATTTATAAATCAATTAATTCAATGTTTTCACAGTAGTGACAGGTCTCATAAAAGAAACAGGGTATGCTTACCCTTTCTGGAACAAGCTTCACTATAATCAAATTTTGTTAAATGTGGAAAGTCGAGCCCATTTGTTTAACTGTATATTGTAAAATTCTTTCTATTGTCACTATCTTTTATTAATGTAAATAGGACTTAAAATACTCCACGTTTCTAGGTATAAAGCCTATAACCTTATTACCGGTATGTTATCCTAGTTTTACTGCACTATCAGTCAATTCATATATTTTAGGGTCATGAAAAATATGTGAATAACTGGATATTCAAAATAAATGTTCAATATCATATCAAATTATTAGAGGTCATAAACATCTATACATGAAATACACAATTCAAGTGTTTAATATCCTATATATAATAAACACTAGGAGTATATACATAACATATACTGACAATATATAGATCTAGTCTGGCCTATATCTACATGTATGTCCATGTACATTACATACAGTACATGTATAATAGCTGTACTTTTCTACATATTTAAAATTATGTATGCTCTTATTTTTAGTCCCATCATTTGTAACTTTTAAAATTTCAAGTTCATGTAAGAGCAGCAAGATCATTATACCAATATTTCTTATCTTCATAATTCAAACTCAAAGACAATATCATGGTTATCAACACCAAATTAGGAATTGTATATTATAGAAATGAACAAAATATTCTGGGAAGTCAAGATAATGATACATTTACATGTATACTGGTGTATATATCATATTCATATAACAACACCATCCTTATATTATATTATATAATACTATAACATATAATGAAAGGATGTTTGACTAATTATCCGTAATTATACACCATAATAATACATTCCAAACACAAGCCTGTACTGTTGGCCATTGTAATAATAATTATAGATGAAGGACATTGCTTGTTGGGGATATATATTTTATGACTGATGTGAAATATTTGTGCAAGCAGTGTATGTTGTCTGGTTTTGTGTCATCTTTTTTTGATGGTGAGTGGAATGGATTAATGTTGCACAGGACTGTCAGCAAATGTTGAATAAATGTTCAAAAAGAACTGTGCAAAGTTGGTTTGTACATGTACCTGTTGGAAGGATGTGTGGTTTCACATTTAGTAATTGTGCAATATCTTTACTACATTATTGCTAATATCTCTGCATTCCACAGCTATATTAATCATGGTGCAATACTGGATGTACATAAAAATTTGTATTGCCTGAGGATTCTATAAATCATGAGCGCCAAATGTGCAGTACTTGTAATAGACCACAACTTTAAATTCATATTAATTGCAATATTTAGAACAACTAAATATTATTATGAAATCCTGAATCACATACACAGCCAAAACAATTTTTTTACCAGCAGTTTTGTGATGCCAATAGCTACCATGTTAAATGTACATATATTGGTTAATTTTACCCTTAATGAAATATCATTTAGCAGGGAACTCTAGACTTTTATCTCCTAAATGGATGATCAGGCATGAATGGTATCGATCATTTACCATGACAGTGGCCATTTTCACTGTGAGATTAAATTGAAGATTTTAGAATTCCTGGAGTTAGGAATTCCGCTAATTTAACAGCACGTGAAGCCCTTGCAAGTACATACACACACACACACACACAGTGTGAAGGCTTTGACAGATAGACCCTAGCTATAAACTTGCTTCGTTTTCTTTGGTCTACAAGCGGAGCAAGAAGTCGACTTCATGCATACATGTATAAAAGAAGTATATATTAGAATATCAAGAGTGATGCTAACATCTAGTCAAACGGGGATATATATGTCATTAAACATGCTATGTTGTTCTTATTAGTTAGATTTGTACGCCAAATGTTGTGTGACTCATGTCTGTCACTCAGGAAATTTAGCCGATTGATAGGCTTAGTTGTAATAATCGACAATTTAGAGAATTTGTTTTCCGTGTTTGACATTTCGATACGGGTTAGCGTATTTATCGACTTTGTCTAGGTCTAAACCATTATCAGTTCTCTGTACTTTATTGTTGTATTATGCACGTTATATTTTTAATTTTGACATAAAAAGCGTACAAACCTGCTGCCATCGGTCCTCCAACGATGGTTGAGCTGAAAAATAGCCCGTATCATGGACTACTTGCAGTTCCCGAAATATGTTTCCACTCGGTAAAATATCCATTTTTAAGACTGTCACTTTCTAAAAACCGGGTTTTGAAACCGGTACCTTTTTGTCAACTAAACTTATACATATAAGTGGTTTCTAGTTCTATATTCGCTCATTCATGAAAATACTCCTACAAACCCACACGCGATATCGACACTCTTTTCGTCTGCCTCGAGCCGCCATGCATGACAGATACTTCGCATCGGTGAGAATGCAATCACCCCATCCAATCAAATTTCTTTTCTCATATATCGTCACCTTTTAGCCAATAGTATCTATCAATACAAACGTCTCCCGAAATAGCTACTATATTTTGATTGGATGTCGGGTGTTATTATTATCCATATATGGAACATTTATTATTGATTGGTTAGAACTATTTTTGGCAGACTATATGGTCAGGTAAAATATCGCTTTCCGTCCATTTGGCTTCTTTGGGCCAAACGATTCACTTTGTAAGGGAAGAACTGGTATATGAAAAATAAATAAATAAAAGTAAAGCCCAGTTAACCAGAAGTTGCGAAATGTATATGGTGTCTTACCAAACTATAATAATTCTTATCTTGAGATAATAAGGGCCTACACCTTTATCTGACTATTTGAAAATTAAGATTCATAAAATATGAACATAGCATTTATTTATAAACTTATTAGTCATATATAATATTAGCTTTGAGTTTAAATCTACAGATCTTAACAATAATCTTAATCATCAAAAAATTTAGGGAGGTCATACTTATTTTATTGAAAATATAAGAAGCATGAGGCTGTGTATGGGTGAGGGTAAGAAGGCGTATACGGGATGGGATGGGGTGGGGGTGGGATGGGCATGATAAATATAAAATTAAAGTAATATAAAAATCTGGGAATGATTTTCATTTGAAACTTTAATGTTGCAGTAGCACATTAATTTATGCTTGCTGTGTAGGTCACAGGGGCGTGGATGTGTCATAACTTTTGGGGGGGGGGGGGCGGACGAACCCTGGAACCTTTCATTACCAAACCAAAATAATAATTACGAACAGTTTACCGGTGGTATTTCGATGAAAACTGTCACTATAGGGGTAATATGATGACGATATGGTAAAATTTACTACCTACAATTAAGGAGGAAGATATCGTGAAGATGAATTACTGTGGCGAGACCCAAGGCAGTGGTTAGGTAGCCTTCAGAACGGGACATTCATTGTGGATATAAACCTGAAAATCCGTCCTGGCGATCAAAATCATGGGGGGGGGGGGGGGAGAGACCTATTCGCCCCCCCCCCCCCCCCTTCCGATTCCAAGGGGGAGGGGCGTCACCCCCCTAAATCCACGCCCATGGTAGGTCAATTCTATGCCTGAGTGGTAGGACGTTGAACCCATTTCATTTCATTTTATACCCGATGGCGCGAGTTCAGTATTTGTTTTCAATTGTATTATACAATTGTGATGATGCTGTGCATGATGAATATTCAATGCCTACACTTTTCCTGTTGACATATTGCCCCGTGGAGAACGGGGATGTAATTTATGAAGTTTAAAATGAAAAGGACTTTCTTCACACTATGTTACAGTGGTTCCTTGGGCATCTCATGGTTTAAATTGACCACATAATGGGAGGTTAACATTATCAATGGGTGATCCAACTTTTACTCACGAAACTGGAAACAATTATTGTCCAACAAAGGCTGCTATAGAAATTATGTAGAATTAATATTATTTTTATGGTTCTAATTTCCATTTCAATCCAAAATATGGCCGACAGGAAATCTGGACCGCCTTATTAAATATATGTAAAATAGCACATCCGCTAAACCCCAAAACACACTCTATGAACAATATCACGAAATGGTCGTCCAACTATATCTTGTTGCCATATTTTGTAATACAGCCACGAAAGTCAGTGAAAATAAATTGAAATGGGCTACGTGTTTTGGAAACTCTTTGATTATGTTGAGACTAATTAAACAATTGCATGGCCAGTGGCACTAATACTTTAGTGTACCCCTTAGTTCAGGTAAACAAAAATATACATATTTTTATGAACAGGGAAGAATACAAGATCTGAAATGTCAATATGGCTTCTGCATGACTAGACTTTTCCAGCACAATATTGGAGATCTTCACAGTAAACAAAATCCAAGTAACAAAGTGACAAATGAATTATGTTTAACGCGGAACCCCCATCCAAAGAACTATAAGATTTTACTTGCGAGGCCAGCCCCCCTTTGCTACAGATAAGGGGAAAACCAGACCGGGAAATTCTAGCTACGAGTACGTAACTAAAAACTTTGAGATATACTGATGTGCTTATTTTTTTTAGCTACGATTGGGTGCCTTTAGTTCCAAATGACAAACCCAGTTTCTTTATTAATGCATGTAACATCTTAAAAATAAGATAATTTTATACCATTATGACTAATTAAACTTACAGAGACCAATATAGTGGCACAACTATCGCCTAACTCAAAATATTCGCGTTTAAATTAAATTGTTTTAATCCGACATACACCGTCATACATCTTCCGTTTAAAAATAGCGTTCCTAGTAACGGCTTATAACGCCTCGATTTTAAATACGATGATTTATACCCGTTTCAGGTAGGACTATATACTTAATTGTAGTTGGATGTGGCCGAACTATTATAAATAACAATAATCAATCGTTGTTTTGATGAAAAATATTGTCAATTTTGCTTACTGAGGCCCGATGTGATTTGCGTTGGGATTTGCTACGTGGAACTATATAGCACCATCTGTTATCTCGAAACACGGAGGGTTGAGAGATGAGGTTTGTTATCTAGGAAATTCCAAAGAGCTTTTTCAGCCAACACCTTGGACCTCCTGGTCAATGAGGGTGTTATACTCACGGAGCCAATCGTGACTCCAACAATCGACCAGTAATGTGCAGGTCAGATACAGACCCGTGATAAATACAGACAATTCCACAACATCTTTTAAAATGATTTGATTATCATGGCGTTTGTATTATTGCGCTCTTTTCACAGGCTCAGGACAACGGACGTGTAAAACTTGTTTTTAATCGTTAGTGGAGTGACCTTTAGAATACGCGGAATGAAAATAATACCCGACTTTAAATTTAAATTAAAGGAGCTAAACACATATATTCTTTAAAATCTAAAATGGAAAAAAATAGGTAAAAAAAACCCCAAATACTTTTAGTCGCTCACCCCAGGTTAGCCCAGTCTACACCGGAAGTATGGTTTGACATTTGACGGCTGAATCTTGAGGCCAGCTCAATTTTCGTCAAGATCACTGAGATGTAAATAAAGTTAGGGCACGTGATTGTTGGAGAGATTGTAGCTTAGGGTTAAAGTAAACACTGGGGCTAGGTCCAGGGCTAGGGTTGGGATTAGCGCTATAGCCCTGTTTACATCTCGTAACCGTTGACCAAACCTGAAGTTGGCATTATCAAAGAGATATCCATATTTCACGGTTAGATCTCTTTATCAAGGCCACCTGCATATTTCCTCAAGGTCACAAGATGTAAACAGGGCTAGCGCTAACCCTTACCCAAGACCTAGCTCTAAGCCTTACCCTAACCGTAACCCACAATCCTCGGTAACAATCACGTGCCCTAGCCCTGTTTACATCTCGTGACCTTAAAATCTACTGTAAATAAGCACTGTATGCCTGTCAATTACTTTATATCTGTCATTTTGGATATTTCAGTAGTGTCGGCTGTGGGGCTGACGAGAAGTTCGTGCCTAGTCTTTCAGAAGGGGCGTAAAACAATGTACGGGACCCCCGCTTCCAAATCCTGCATTTTAGCTAAAGTTCAACAATTTTCGTCTTCTATATTCAATATTTTAACACTGCTAAAGACCCATATACCATATGTTAGTCCGGAAATAACCGAATTTGTGTCCAGTTGGCGTACACGTAAAAGAACCATTGCCAGTTTGAATTCGAAACAAGAGTAGATCGCAGTGCAGCTGCCCGGACAAAAAGTCCCTCATATAGCACTCTGCATGGCGTATTACACCCGTCTACATGAGCGAAGTCGGTGCAGAAAAGTAGGAGCTAAACCCCATTTTATTTCATGGCACTCCCCTCTCTCTCAATATAGATAAGATTTCCACAAATAATTGATATGATACCATTTAAACATACCACATCTGGGGACTGTAGGGGGGGGGGGCAGCGCGCCTTTCAAATCCTTATCAGAGCTTCTATTCCCACATTTATACTCCCAGGGAGTGTGAAATAGAGAGTTGTTTACTATTGAAGTATAGAATATATTTACATTAAAAGGCGGTGTTAGAATTTAATTAAAATGGTGTTATCAGCTTCGATTTCTATCTTGGATTTCTTGTCCACGATTGAAATCAATCGACTCGTGTATATAGTCGTATTAACATTGAAAATACATGTATATAGTAATATAGGCCTACGAGAATATTTCAGATATTAAATTGATTTAAATATGTAACTTCTGATTATATTTATGATCACCCTGGACACTTCCGGATGAAAGTTTCGGAAGGCATTGTCGTTTTGGAGGTCATGTCAGGTTTTATTTCACTGTATGGTTTGCATCGTGTACGTTAAATTAGATTTTATGCAAAGTAGAAGAGGCTAGGCTTATTTTGAACATAATATATCCAAATTTAATTGCATTTAGAGTGCGAATGCCTCTTTAAAGCCGCGATAAAAAAACAAACTCTGGGAGTGATCAGCAGTAAATATTCGCTGGGCCGTTACTACTACTGAAAGGGATGACATAGGAGCGAGTCAGTTACCTCATAATATTAACTTTTTTACTTTTGCAAATTAAATTCTAAAACAATTTTTTAAGAATTATAAGAACAAGTACATGAAAAAAATATTTCCTATTTAGTGTAAATGGGTACATAAAATAGTACGCGAAGGCGTAAAATGAGTAAATAGCAGCAATTCTGCGAACCGGTGTGGGTATATTTTCAATGAAAAAACAATACACGTGTTATCGACGTTATATGCTGTGACGTCATTCGTAGACCTATACTGTACATAGAAATATATATTTATATATTTCTATGATACTGTACGTGAACTTAAAGATCATTCATCTTATATACACATCGTTAAAATAAGGCATTCGCATGACGGCTTTGAAACAGATTGGGAAGTGATAATGACTCTTTAAAGCGGCGATATCAAACACTTTTAGTGGCCGTTGTCGGTAAATTCTGCCCGTAACAGATTGTGTT